CCCCCCCCCCCGCCCCCATTCGGCCTCTTGTTGTATGTGCACGATTCGTTTTATGTACCTTGTCCCATTTTGTCGCAAACCACGGTTGGTGGTTTTCCTCGCGCCGCGTGACCCCCGCCCCCCCCTTTCGCTTCCCCGAAGCCCGTGGCGTCATCGGTGATCCCGCCGATGCGTAAGGACGTCCTGGCGAAGTGCTACGGTGGCGACATCTCGAGGAAGAAGAAATTGCTCAACAAGCAGGCTAAGGGCAAGAAGAGGATGAAGTCCATGGGCAGGGTCAACGTGCCCCAGGAGGCCTTCATGGCCGTCCTAGACCTCGGCAACGAGTGATTATGTTGTGATGATGATGATGAAGATGGACGTGACTGCTGCTGTGGACCCCACCCATCCGTGCGTTTGGTTGCAGGGTTTGTTATTCTAGTCATCATCACAGCGGTTGCTTGGTGTGACGAGGCTGCTTGACTCCTTCGACAAAGAAGGAAGAGTGGGCTTCATGCCGTCCCAAACCTCAGCAACGAGTGATGATGATGCGTTTGGTGGCATTGGCTAGTTGACGCCTTTGACAGGAAGGAAGAGTGCTAAGGTTTCTCGTGGGGGTCCTTCCCCGTAGCAGTCGTGACAAAGAGGAGAGGAGAGACATGAAGCACTAAGCCGGCGGTGTCCGGGACGCCTGGAGGAGCCGCTTCGGGCTCCGGGAGAGCATGCGTGTTTATCTCGGGGTGAGATTCGTGAAAGTCACGTGTTTATAGAGGCAGAACTTGCGTGAGGATAAAGATGGATGCAATGGTGGAGGGAGTCATGAAGGTCAAGTGGTGTGTCAACCAAGCCTCGGATTGTTTTGGGACATGTGCCAGCATGCTCGCTCTGAGGGATGAGACACACCAGACGGAGTGGGCCAGGTTTTTCGTGTTCGGGTGATAAATCCAGAGGCCCTCATTGCTGCGCTGTCGGCCTCCGCGACTACTAATGGTGTTACTTCTAAAAGGCGTCTACTCTTGATAGCGTCAAAATAATAGAAAGACTGCACGCCTTCACGGCATTGTTGCGTCCGTTGCATGATCGTGGACTTTCGTGGCGTGCGAGGGGTGTACCAATAGTGCTCGACATCCAGCAGCGATGTCTTTTCATGCACTGCATGACGTTGCGATTGTTTTTTCCCCCGAGGCAGAGTAGTGCTTCGTGTGTGTTTTCGGAACAGTTGTACTTTGTTCAAGGGCTCAACCATTGCCCGAGCTCCCCCAACGACCGGTTCATCGTAACTGTCGGATGCGGCTATTGCAATTCCTGATCAACGTCCAAGACACACACCCCGCAGGGCGGGCTGGTCGGTGCGATAAAAATAGGAATGGTATTGCGGTTGATTCCCAACTTGCATGCGGCCAAGAGCCGGACTTAAAAAGGCAAAGAGTAAGGTTTTCGGATCAACACCAAAAGAGTGGCGGACAGAAAAAAAAAAATGAACCATATGTATCCATGCACCGGCGGCGATGTCGTCAGTTGACGTTAGACGTGAGTCGAACGGCCAACCGGACGAACGCCACACAGTACGGCTTCGCCTTGTTGATTCTATTTATGTAGCTTCGCGGGGGCGGTATGGTGCTGTCCTGTAGTTCGCGTATCGTTGCCTCTCCGTCTTTGTGCTTGCTTGGCGGCAAGATACAGAAGGCTCTCGACTGCTGACGCGCCGCAGCTTGCAAAAACGCGCCGGCAGCATAGCTCCGTACCGGGCATGAGAGCATGGTAGAATTATCGTCTTACAGCCCTGATTCGACACCTAGCGCAACGTCTTCTCATATTTCTACGCGTAGCGCGCTGGCTCGGCCTGCGCTCTCCGACCCAAGGCAGCCATGCCCACCGCCGCCACCGCGAACAGCCCCAAAGCAAATTTCATTGGAGCGGCATCAAAACCGGTGTGTGACTCCAGGCTCATGGGAAAGGCTTGACATTCAGAAGGTCGCACACCCCCACGACGATCTCAGCCGCGATGAGGACGATGATCGTCCACTCAAGCATGGTGCTGTCATCCCCATCACACACACCATCATATGACGTCAGTCCCCATGTCGTGAAAGCCAGCCACGTGGTCGTCAGCCAGTGCCGTGTCGCCAACCGGGGAGGATATGTAGCCGGAGCGAGAAAAAAAAAAAGGAGGCCGGACCAAGAGTACGGCAGAGCGGGGGGAGCGAAAGACGCGGGGGG